CTCAGATGTAACCGAGATTCAACGTCAGTTTCCTCGTTTTGTATATGCCTGTATTATACCTGTTACAAAGTGGAACGAAAGCGACGAAACAGAAACGCTTTCACGTGCTGTTAAGGAACATTAACAAAAACGCACACAGCCATGCTCTTCCCTCGGAAGAAAAATATCCCGGCTCTTGCCGCACGAGAGTTTTTCGAAAGTGATCGGCGCATCACGAGGGCAAAACGTTAGACCCCGCGAGGATACTCGGGTGAAACTCCATAGGCGGTCGACGAGAACAGTGGAAGGAAAAGAAAGTTAGACACAGCCTCGAATTTCATGTTCGAACGGTGCTCTTTGCAATTTCATAACTCTAGCATAAAGACCGCAGCCCGCGATTATAGATCGACGCCGATTACAGAAGCGCGTTGCGACAACCGCTGAACGAGCAAAAGCTTAGGATACGTGTCGGTTGTTAAACGATCGCTGACCGTCAGCGACGACCGCCACTTCCGAAGGCGGTGAAATTGCGCGCGCCTACGGCAGTCGACGAACGGTTGGTTCCTGAAAGGAAAATGCTTCGAGATTACTCCGTAACTGCCTCGGCTGCCGGAAGAGGCGCGGCAGTCGGTGCTGCGCGCGCACCGCGGCAAGCCTGGGCCTCCATGTAGGTTAGTTGAAGAGATATTAGAGAAATTGGTTATTTTCTTGGACTGAGTGGGTTTAATAGGTTTTCGAGTATTGGTGGTTAAGTATTAATTAGATAGAGTAGAGTTTTATTGGTTGTAATGGATGTTTAGTTAATGTGTAGTCAGGCTTTATTAGTTGAATTTATAATAATTGGTTTTGAAAGGTATGTGTAGTTTATTGTTGATTAAATAGAGTTTCATTTGTTGCAATGGAAGTTCAATTAGTGTCTGATTAATTTTTGTTGGTACAATTCATTTATTTGAATGTGATTCTTATAGGTTGAAAGAGAAGTTATAGATTCTAGCTTGAGTATGATTTGAATGGTAAGTCATAAATAGCATGGATTGTAATTTATTTTAGAATTGAAATTCTAGCATAAACTCAAGATATTTAGATTGCTGTTATTTAATAGTTCTTTAGTTTGACTACTAGAAGTTAATGCGAAGAAAATGACACCTATATTACATATGGGAAATTGTATAATAAGTTTAAATAACTAAAGTGCTAGTTGAAATCCATAACTTGTAGTGCCTTGTTTTAACTATTAGAAATTGGTGTCAAGAAAGTGAAATTTAGCAGCGTCCATAATGTCCACAGCCATAAATATAAGTAAACACGTTCAAACACTTTCAATATCTATTATATATGGAAAAATTCATGGAAAATTGAAATAGCCAGAATTCTAGTGCAAGTCTATTCAGACTGTTTTCTTTTCTGGCAATACTTTCTCCCAATTGTTATAAATTGGTGAAATTTAGAAGCGTTTGAAGCCAAAATTGTAGGTATACATGTCCAAATACTTTGAATGTCTATCTTACGTAGAAAATTCCAACCTTAACCTCAAGTTTCAACGTATACTACCAAGGCTTATTGTTAGATTATGCTAAGATTATGCAATATGTAGGAACATTGCACTTCTAATATTAAACTATAGTTACCAATATAAAGCTATAACCTCAAATTCTGTAGTCCTAGTGTACTTTTCATGTCAAGATACCAAATTGAGGCATGTTTCTCAAACAAACTGAGTGTAAAATAAGAAAACAGAGAAAAATTAAAACGTCATACACTGCCTCGAATTTTTATTTTCATGTTTACATGTCATATCGAGTTTCTTCATACCTTTTACACACCCTCTTCTGTATTCCACGAATTTACGACTCGTTTTAAATGGCTTGGAGCAACAGTACGTCAAGAGGTTGAGGAGGTTGTCCTCCTTGATTCTTAAACAGCAGTGGAAAGTAAAAATTCGCTCGGGAACGTAGCAGGAGAGGTTCACCTACAGGTGCTCCGGATAATTACACGATGTGTCCGATGTTCGAGGAGCGTGGATGAAATTCCTGGGCGTGGCGACAGCCTTCCTTGCCAGTACAAAAGACTTCCTTGGTATGTGCACCGGTACAGCTATCTTTTTGTTGTCTTGAGGCTTTGGCACAGGCGTGCAAGGTCGGTCGTTTTGGAAATATCGATTTTGTTATCGAAACAGGTTCAGTTCTTGTCACACAGGACGAAATAATGAAAGAATCGGAATATGGAAAGTTTATTTCTTTTTATTCCAACGTCTCAATATTTTACTTTATATTATATTATATTGCATTACATTATGTTTTCGATAGCAGCCATTTATGTTAAACAAACAAATATTTCACGAGAAAATGTTCCAATTTGAATTATAAATTGTTGCATTTTTATCCCCTCTTCTTCTTTAGGTTATGGAAGGATATGGTATCATATGTATAATTCATTTTATACAAATTTGTTCTGTACGATATTAAGCGTAGATATGAAAATATTAAAATCTTGAGACAGGAGTAAATATTTGTATGGTAAAAGAATGTATGCTATTTTGAGACATTATAAAAATATGGAAAACATAAAGCATACAATTTAATCATTAAAATAGAGGTTAGGATTATTTAGAATATGAGAGAATAAATACCAAATTTAACTTTGAAAATATTTGCATTATTTATTATTAAATCTCATTCTATTTTATTTATATAATAATTAATTTTAAAAAATATAGAAATATAGAAATAATAATTTAAAGAACCTCTCACTCTTTAACAAATGGAGACCAAAATGAAATAAAGAAAGAACTACTTAATTAATCTACATAAAATATTCTAAAAATATTCCAGAACTTTTGTTTAATTTATTATTAAATCTCACTAAATTTGATTTATATCTAATAATTAATTTAAAAAATATATAGAAATATAAAAATGACGAATTAAAGAACTCCTTACGTTTTAAAAAATGGCGACTAAAATAAGACAAAGAAAAACAAAGTATACTAGAAATATTCTAGAACTTGCATCACGCTACACAAATATATAAATATACCGTAACAAAAATATTCCAATATAATATAATATATTCCACCAAACTTCCATATAACAAAAATTACATTTATTACAGTCACATTACATATGATATTCGATATCCTTATCAAAAGTACCCCAGAAAACGCAAAGGATCACCAAACAACCCAACGCTATTGCAAAACTCCTTTATTACACAGTACATTAAGTTACCATAAAACAATGAAGACGATACATAGAATTACATTAGTATCCCTAACATAACACGTGTAACATATGTAACTGCATCCTCCTGCATCCACTTACGAACCGTTTAGAAATCCCTAGCCATCGTAAACGTCTACGTCCATCCTATTATTACCATTATATCATCCGTTCATCCGTTTCGTGCCTCTATTATCCGGCTGTACTCGCGTTCAAACACCGATCAATTGTCGGACGCGATGCATTTACGACGTTCGCGAATTCCTCGTGCAAGGAAAGCGGCAAAACAGAATGCAAATGTCCCGCCATCGATTGTTCACTGTGCAGGAATCCCGCGAGCATAATCGCGGCTCGCGAAGGTGGATCGCCTACGTCGGACGTTGGACGGGTCGTTCGCTGGCATCGTTCGAACGATAGCATCTGAAGGTCGCGTGCAGTTATGCCAACCTCGGGATTTTTTGCCAGCGTGTCAAGTTCAAACATGGCTGCATCCGTAATTCCGCGCAATGATTAACATGGACAGGCGTTATGAACAGGATTCCGTGTCGCATAGCTGGCGAATTGTTCACCTCATCCGTCATCGTCTGACCGGAACAACGAGACCAACGTTCGTCTCCTTCTGGATCTTTCTGTCCCTGTATAACCAGTCTTCGAGTAGCCAGTACGCAGATACGATAGAGCACGAACGAAGATTTTCAGACCATCGTCGAAGTCTGAACAGGTCGACGTGGATGTAGATAAGGATAGACGTAGATCTATGCTTGGTCGCGAGAAGTGACTTTTTTGAGCGTTTTAGGAGGTGCTACAGAGATAGACGCGATTAAATGGGTACAACTAGAGACGTGAACAACCGGGTTGTAGAAGTAAGAGCTAAGAGGTAGAGAGAGTAAAGAGAATTGGTAAGAGAAGAGGTAGAGATTCACAAAGGAACTACTTTCAGAGTCTAAATAGACATGCCACGTTGGAGTACAACCAAGTGTTTTGAAGATAGGGAAGAGCTAGAGTCGTGTAGAATATCAAGTGTCTGCTGTGCCTCTGGGGAGATGCTATCTCGTGTTCTCTAGATAGTTGCTGTTGATGCTACATCGAGATTCGCGTTCTTGAACTCTATTAAGAGAATTATCGAACTGGTATGGAAGCAAATTATGGAGATTTCTTTGCGAGCTTTTGACTAATGATCTAAGATTTGGAATGATGTATGAGTGATGATAGAATTTCTCTCACTTAACGATTAATACTTGTTATTCTGACAATTTCTTCGGGTTCTTGAACGAATATCCTATTCTATCAAGTCGAAGGCTAATTTAAATTCTATATCTATATTTATTTCAATACCAGTTATGTAATCTGAAGAACAGACCTTGGGTCTTCATGATTTCACAGAAGAAAATTATACGAATTTTCATAAATCCTTCAAATAATATTTTAAATTGTGCCAATTTATCAACCAAGAATAAAAGTAAATTAAGCCAATTGAAAAACAAAAATACACATAAAATAAAGAATTCATTATTTAAATAAACACAAAGAAATCTCAAATATCAATATTCTCCATAAAAGTTAGAAAAGATGAAAACAAATTAATCATAACAATTTAGTAATTAAAACAATAATAAACTTAGCTAGTGCAAAAATGGTAGAAAAATTGTGATTTACAAATTAATCTACGCCAATGATATAAGATTCATTACCCTAACAAATCCAGAGAAACATCTCCCCATACTTCAAACACCAACACTCCGAACCAAAAAAGAGATCCACGAATAAAATAAAATATTAATTTGAAAGCCGAAAGAGACATTGGAGAAATTGGATCTTACAGATGAATGTACGCATAATGAACGATCCATAGATCGAGCAAAGACAAAAAGACTGGCCCTAACTATGAGCTCTGCAACGTGTCCCGGAAATGGGTATAAATAACGCAATATTTACACATGTTAACGTGATCGAAGGATCCCTATCGTCTGTAATTAACCGTGTAAGAGGCTAACCCGGCATTGGGATCGGCGTTGGGCGCCGGACGACCTTGAATTCCGCTTTGGATCGGCGCGGCAGGGTACGCGGGTCTCTGTTGCTGGCCCTGATATTGCGGTTGATACTGCGATCGGTACTGCGGTCGATACTCTGGCTGATACTGCGGCTTAGGCTGGTACTGCACTTGCGTGGGATACCTGCGAAGCCGAGGAACAGATTCTGTCGGTTAACTCCACTGTTTAACCCCGCGAGTTTCAGCCTAGAGAGGCTGTCAGTTGTGCAAGTCACGTTCGCTCGCGCTCTTCGAGTGAGATTCACGTGACATTTGCATGGTTCGATGTGGATACGTGTTCTTGGACAGAGGAAGTTTCTTCTGTGGGGGGTTTCTAAGTTGATGTTGGCTCTTGGAGATTGTTGTTTGCGGCAGGGACAGAGAGAGGTTTTTAGGTGTACCGGATGTGGCTATAGTGATGGTAAATTGGAATTATGCGTAGGGTTTAACGAAATTTTTGGGTATTCTGTATTACTAGGCCCTATCTTTTAATTACTAATAAATTTATTAATTTAATTTATGTAATTGGATATATAAAATAATTTAATTAATAAAATGTAATAAGAAAATTGAATATATAAA